ACATCCCCTCCTACCATGCAAAAGGCGGCTGGGAAGGAGAGGTGCCTGTATCGCCTGGGCAGAGGTGATGGCTTCAGCCACCTTGCAAAGAAATAAACCCTGCTCCTCGTGTCCTCCTTGCTGGCAGCATCCCCAACTGCTGCTGGTGCAGATGGCAGCTCCCCCCTCCACCTCTCCCTCCCTGGCACACGTGTGTGTGCGCTCCAAGTTACCGTAGTTTGCAAGCGTGGAGGTCCTGGAAAATGTGAGGTTTTGTGACCAAAAATCAATGTGTTGTCAAAGGAAATAAACAAGGAGGGATACTCTCCTGATGGCCTGGGAGGGCTGGGAGAGGGCCAAAGCCGCGCCATCGAGCACCCGAGCTGCATAGTTTTGGTCTGATGTGTTGCATGGGCTATAGCTTCCTGCTGGCACAGAGATCGTGCACTGCGAGTATTAGGTTACAACTTGTCATACAATTTTGGTGAAATCCATGCATATTACAGATGTCTCTGTTACATTATTACCCCTCCAGATCCTATAGACATTCTTTGGTGCTCCTTTGGGGCATCATCTGTGCTGCTAGTTCCCATAACAACTTGTGAATTTATCATTCCAAAGCTGCTTCTTAGAAAAAAAAAGAAAGATCAGCCCAAATTCTCTTGTCTTTTGTCAGCTACGGAAGCATTCGGCTCCCTGGCAGCCTGCCGCTTCTGTTCTCCTCCTCTCTTTTTCTTGTTGTTCATGAAAAGAACCCCAAGCATATACTTAGACGGGTCATTGCAATTCTTTATAAAGAAAAAGAATATTACCTATGCAGCATTATAGATGCTGGGCTCGGTAAACATTTAAAATGGATAGACTGGTAGATTAAAAGATTTTAATGCATTGGGTGCTGATTTAGTTGATGTATTAGGCTCTTTAGCATCTCTCTGACAGGTCTATTTAGAGCTTCCTTTTCGTCTGGCCTTCCTCAGGCAATGACACTCATTACTCTCTGCCTGTCAGTCAAAAGGAGTTATAATAGAGCTTAAATGGGTCTCCTGACAGGGTGCCCTGGTAACAGTAAAGGAGTGATAAATACCAACAATAACACTCCTACCTGTGGGTGCCTTGGGAGGGTGCAGGCAGCATCCCCCCAGCTGCCCTAGGTGCAGGGACCACTTCCCATCCCTGCCCTGGGGTGTTCAGTTCAGGGCAGAATGGTTTCTTCCTGGGAGTTCAAGAGTGATAGGAAAGAATTGGAGGCTTCTGAGGGATGTGAAAAGACTGATCTAAACACCGAGGCAAGGAAAACCATGGTTGTGGTGAACTGAAATCAGTATTGTTGAGAGTTGGAGCTAAAACGCAGCTACTGAACACAGGAAGATGAGGTTTGACACAGGGCAGGACAGACGGGGAGGATATTTTAGTGTAAGTGTGTAAAACCCTCCAGCATCCTCAGGGGTGAAGCCAGTTTTAAAAGTGAACTTTTGATAAGTGAACATTTGTGGACCGCACTGATCACGTTAGCATGGAATAAAAATTATTTAGCTGGTCAGTGATGAACATATCCGTTACTTTCAGCTCCCAGGTTCTTTGCTCTTACTAAGGTTTCCTTGCTCAGTTATTTATCATGTATTCTCATTGACTATTTTATTCTCCATTGGTACTTAAGGATAGTCCTATTTAGGTGTGCAAGTCACTCTGTTTCTCCTTTTTTCAAGGAGTGCACAAAAATGCTGTGAAAACTGCCGTAACTTTACACATACAGATACTCAGTAACATCAGACATGACTTTGAAGCTATAGATAGACACATTCTGCAGCTGCTGACCCCCAAGTAATTGGACTTATGTCATACACTCGGTCACATCATAGCAGACCGGCTACTTGGAAATACAGGGGCTATGGAAAGAATCTGAGCTCTATGCAGGTGATGACTGTGCTAAATTAGTAGCCTCAGTTGATTTTAATGCAACGGTCAATCTGTGCAGTTGAAGAGTTAACAGCCGAGGGAGAGAAAGCCTGAGTTTGTCTGAGGATCATTTATCCACCCATCTGTCAGTCATCGGCATTCCTCTCTGCTGAGCAGAGCCTGGGTTTGGTGCTTTTAAGGACAATGAACTATTGCTTAGGAGGAGAAATATTCCCATTTGAATTAGATTATCTGACAATTTAAGTGCAATTGCTTGAAAACATCATTAAAAAAACATTAAGATATTCTAGACAATAGGTCAGCCTGGTCTGATATCACATAGCACAGGCCTTGGTTTCTTGGCTTGATCCACCTTGTTCATCAGCCATCCAGGAGCACAGCAAGGCAGAGGTCCTATAAAGCTTACACCAAAAGGTGCGTTTACACGTGTGTAAAACCCGGCTCTTGCGCAGAGCAGAGTAAATGAAGCTGGTGGAGCCAGACGTCATTTGGGTATTTCTCAACTTTGCGACTAAACATTCTTTAATTAAAGCTCGTCTCTCACTTCCGATGGATTTTAGAACAAGCAAACAGAGGCAGAGCTGTGCCAGCTGCAGAACAGGAACCTGCTCTTTTCTGCTTAAGGAGCATGCTGCTCTGCTGCTGCTGCACGAGTAACTGGTTGCACCAGTGCCTTGTCCCCTCTATGCAGAATCATGTCATGGTTTGTGTTGGAAGGGACCTTAAAGCTCCTCCAGCTCCAACCCCTGCCATGGGCAGGGACCCCTTCCACTGGAGCAGCTTGCTCCAAGCCTCTGTGTCCAGCCTGGCCTTGAACACTGCCAGGGATGGGGCAGCCACAGCTTCTCTGGGCACCCTGTGCCAGCGCCTCAGCACCCTCACAGGGAAGAGCTTCTGCCTAAGAGCTCATCTCAGTCTCCCCTCTGGCAGGTTAAAGCCATTCCCCTTGGCTTGTCCCTACAGGCCCTTGTCTCAAGCCCCTCTCCAGGCTCCTTGTAGCCCCTTTAGGGACTGGGAGCTGCTTTAAGTTCTCCCCTTAAGGAGCCTTCTCTTCTCCAGGCTGAACAAGCCCAGCATGAACCTGTCTCCCTGGGAACAGTTCATGCAGGTACTCAAGTTTGCTAATTAGCTTAAGCAGTTCTTTACCAGGCCCAACAGCCCTGGTAAAACCCAACACTCCCTATGGGCAGGTGGTCTTTAAGAGAGACAGCATAGAGCAAATCTAGGTCCTGCAATAAGCGGGATGTATCTGACTGGGTGAGATTTGCCAGATTTAATCAGTCCTGGGCTCTGTTCCCAGCTGTGCCAGAGCTGATCTTATGCAACTTCTCTGCTATCTCATTTGTATGAGTTTTCAATTATATTTGCCTCCCTCTTAAGATCAATAGGAGATATTGCTCAATATTATAACCATTGGAAATCATGGCATTACTGTGGGTTGCCATAAGAGCTGGGGCTGGAGCACATGAAAGCATACTCTTATAGTCCAGTGTTCCTTTCTTAAGGGGCTGTTGCAGTTGTTGCAAGCAGGGCATGATCACTTGTGTTACCCTTGAGTAGGGTGCATGGGCTGCAGCAGGGACTCAGTGCCCCAGATTCAAACGTGGGAGACAAGGAGGAACTGATGACTTTAGCCCCAAGCAAGCGCAGATGTGTGGGTAGCTTTGCAAAATGGAGTGAATTTCCATGGGAGCTGTAAAGATCTCATTCCCGAATCCAGGAATTCTGCCATTGCAAGTTTCCTGTTGGAGGGGCAGCTGAGAGGGGTTTTTAGAGAAGGGGTTGGACAGCATAGTTATTTTTATTTGGGGTAAAACATTTGATTTTTCATTTGCGTTTTAACTCTTGTTGCTAAAATTATTATTCCAGTAGGACTGGGTTGATCCGTACTAATTTAAGTGTCTGAAATAATGTTATAAATGAGCTGTGTTTCCATGAGTAAGATTCCCATTCATCATTGCAAGGTTTACTTCACGGCAGTGAAATCATTACCATGAAGCAACTGGTGTGCTTTGAAAACACTGAAATCATTTAGCGCTCATGACTGAAAACAAGGAGTTGCTCGAACAGGCAGTGTAGACGAGTTCAGTGCATGAAGAGTTTGGCTTTTATTTACATGTTGCAAGGGGAATGTGCTGTTAAGAGGATAGCACAGTGAGATCAGCCTTTGAAGAGTGTCTCCCCATTCATTCATTTGATTTATTCCAGTGACCAGCCCTGCTCGGTTGGGTTACACCTCTGTAAACCTGACACAGTCGAAGTGACAATTCCCTGATTCGTTTTTTTTCCCCATTGAAATCATCAGCTTTAACCTCAGTTTTACCCTCTCAACTCTAATTTAGTCTCAAGCGTTGCCCCTGGGAAATTTCAGTTTTAGGTTTTCAAAGGTTACCCAAAGTATCAAGTTATTGGATCCTATTCCGTGAGTGGGTTTGGGGGGAACGGGGAAGAAGCGTGATCAATACCTTGTGTCCTCTGGAGTCCGATGAAGAAACCTTCCCAGGGAATAATTTAGCCTCTGATTTTGTAAAGTGTTTGGCATGCTCAGTGTTGGCTGGAAGTGCTCAGGATCTCACGGATTGCGGGGCTGGATGGGAACTTGGCTGTTTCACAGCTTTATTCGGCATTTTCAATGCCGCTGCATAATAACAAAACTGGGCTTTGGCCAGTATTTGTGGCTTGGGATAGGGCTATTCCCAGTGTGAGCCAGACACCCCTGAGATGATTGGATTCAAGTGCTTTGTTTCTCTTGAAGAATTGCATATCTCTTCGTTCTTCTCCCATTACCAATTGGCTTGGTTGAGAGAGACTCTTCATGGCTCCCAAAGGTTGACTTTGGGGTTGTCATTAGTTTGAGATGTTATTGGCAGCGGGTTCTAGGAGTTACCGCCAAGAAACATGTTTAGGCATTTGGATTACTCTTGTAAATTCTAATTAATCACTTTGCTGCTGTATAAGGCAGCACTGTAACACATACTTCATGCTCAAGTATTCCATTTCTTACAGCAACCTTGCACCACGGGTTCAAAAACAAAGCTGCAGGGTAACAAATTCGAGACAGTTTTATTTGCGAAGAGTCTAAGTGCTCGTTGTACCCGGGGGGGCAGCAGGGCAGGGGTACACTGAGATGTGCCTTAGTGGTGTTACCTCGGCACTGGCCAGTTAGCAGGGTGGTGACGGGTGCTCTGCCTCTGCTCCTGCAGACTTCCATCCCTCCAGGCGGCCCTGCAGAAATGTTGTCATCTCCTGGCACTCTCCAGACAGCTAAAATTACCCGGTCAGCTGTGTGCAGTCGTAGTCTGGCTCCTAACGAGAGGCGTGTGGCCGGGGGCTCTGTTTTATAGGAGATGGGGTCCAGACTTCTCAGGGGTTGCCTGATGTGCTCAGTCTTTGGTTTTGTTTGACAGAAGGGTGAGCATAAGCATTTAAAACAGCAAGTGTCAAACAAGAAGAGCTGATGCTGGTTTACTTCTCCAGTCACCTCTGCAAATCATAAGCTGGCACCCAGAGGTGCAAGGAATATCTGAGCAGCAAAGAGCAGCCTGTCGATGGAACAGCCCCTTCATGGCTGTCTGCAGTACTACAAAAACAAGCTACCAGAGGGAAAAGAAACATTCTTCATCTGCCTGTTTTGTAGTACAGGATCTGCATGTGTGCAGGGGTCTTTCCAAAGAGATTCTCAAGCACTTACAGGGATCATAGAATCATAGAATGGTTTGGGTTGGAATTGATCTTTAAACTCATCAAGTTCCAACCCCCTGCCGCAGGCAGGGACACCTTCCATAGAGCAGCTTGCTCCAAGCCCCTGTGTCCAACCTGGCCTTGAACACTGCCAGGGATGGGGCAGCCACAGCTCCTCTGGGCACCCTGTGCCAGTGCCTCAGCACCCTCACAGTAAAGGATTTCTTCGTTATACCCATCTTAAATCTCCCGTTTCAGTTTTTTTTTGTGCCTTGTTCTTATTTCTACAAAGGCTGTATGGTTGTTCTTTCACTTATTTAGGGTTTATGTGTATATATATATACACACACATATACATATATATATCTATTTTATCTATGTCTGCTTGGGGTCATTGACAGGCTCAGCACATCCTTCCAGAGGTGGAACAACATAAGGGCTATCTTTTGCAGCATGACAAAGATGTGATTATTTAAAATGATTTTTTATATATATAAATGTGTGTGTGTATATATATATGTATGTATGTATTTTAAGTGAAAACTACACTTTTCAGCCAGCTCATTACTCACATACTTGTCTTCTGGGACAGTGCACCCTGTCCTGCTTAGCGCTGCTGTAGCTGCCTGTTCCATTCCACATCCCAGCGCCTGCTACTCCAACCTATTGATTGACATCTCTGTCTCCAGCTCTGATCTCATGTCTTGACCATCTGCTTCTTCTGGTGGTCTCTGGAGGGTCTGCCAATCAGCAAAGCAGGCTCAAAACTCATAGGCAAATGGGTTAGATTATTTTTGGACCTTCCTTGCAGCCATCTGTTTGGGAGGGAGCCATGAGCTTGTCTTTACCCAGCTGGGTTAAGGTGCTGCGGCAGCCTGCGAGGAAGCAAACAGGATAAAGAAAATTACCCTCTTCTTAAGGAGCTGAATCAGCTGCGAGACGGCGCTGAGCTCTCAGCCAACAACCGGCACCAGCAGTGAGAGATCAGGATGTTTCCCTGTCCCTGCTGGAGCTGGCTGCTGCCTTCAGACGACACCAGGCAGAGCAGCAAGTTTGATGCGACTTTGGGAGCTGACTTGTGTTGCCCGTGACAACCTGGGTTTGAGTCTGCTTTACATGCAGACACGCACACACGTGCATATGTTGCTATAACAACCAGCCGGGACTTGTACAGAATGTTGGACTCTGTTTTCCAGGTTCCAAAGCACCGAAGTTTTGCTGCAATCCAGGAGGCAAACAGCTGCCTTCAGTCTCTCCCCTTCCCCCCCCCCATCCTAAAAAAAGCACTAAATCAAGTATGCTAAGCAAAATGTCTGGGTTAATTATGTAAAAAGACTCTGTAATGCCTTAGTAGGAAGAGAGAAGCAAGCGGGGCTCTGTGCTCTTCTGCTCTGCGAAACAGGCGGTTCCCAGGGGTAAAGGCTGAGATTTCAGCGCTGGGTTTGGTGTCCCCAGGACATCATGGTTAAATTACGTGACCAGGAAAGCCGCTGGTGTCACCAGGCAGCAGTAAACCACAACTCGTGGGTGAAGATCATGACTTCTGCAGCCTCTGACCCCATGTTAATGCTGTAACCTGCAGGGCAGCAACCAGGTAAGGGTTGAGAGCAAGGGATGTGAACAGCAAAGAGCCTGTATTAGCCTCTCCCTATAGCTGCAGGCTTTGGTTAAGATGCTTACAGCAATAGAATCTATCTCCTATAGCAGGCCTATACCAATATTCTCTATTTTTCCCTTTTACTCTGAGTGATGGGGACACTGAACAGCACTGCCTTCCTGAAAAAAGAGTTTTCCCGCAGGGAAAGGGGAAAGCAAGAGAGGCACAGATCCCAGACAGCATGTTTCACAGGATGTATGTGTGTGTGATAGCCCCTGCGTGCTGCTCTTCATCTTGCATGTGTTTGAAAGTGAGCCTTGCCCATGAAGCAGGGAGGGAGTTCTGGTTTCCCCTTGTAGGCAGCACTTGGTCTTCCTGTGCAGTCTGTGGTGCAGCCTGGGTCTCCATCCTCCTGTGCAGGGGGTACCATTGTACCCCAAATGAGCTGGCACAGAGGTTGTAGAAGGTCACTTGGAGCAGAACTCAGAATAGAGTCAAGGACCTCATATGGGGAATTTGGGGCTCTCGTGCTTTCTGCTCCACCTCAGCGCATCCATCCACTGCTCTGCCTTGAGTCCTCGTGGCTGCATGTGATCCTAGGCACAAGGCATTCAATGCTGCTTCATCAACTGTTAGAAGTCATGTCCTGGCACTCCAAAAAGTGGGCACGCAATGATTCATGCGTTGATATAGTGGACAAAATTTATGCTGGGTTGTCATATTCCAAGTATGGATGGGACGCATGCTCAGTACCAAGTGGTTGGTTTATACCTCTGGGCATCAACCGTGCTTTTCAATGTGTATGATGGCTCTTCAATGATTTCAGCACTTTCAGTGGGTTTATGTTGCAAAACGCTGTCTGCAGACATGGACTGGGACGCTAATAGGTGTTTCATGGTCATGTTTTGTTGGTGATGGTGGTCTCCAGTTAACACCCGAGGTGATGATTACAGACTGTGCCTAGCAATGTCTGAACAACTGTGGGGGTGCTTTGCCTATATTCAGAGATGGGGTCCCGAAAGGGTCAGAATTTGATATAAACTTGCATTCTTCCAGGAATTGGTTTAATTTTCCAACCTGTGCCAAAACCTGTCATGCCTGACTGGGTACCTCAGAACCTACCTGAGAAAATAAACACCTTTTCAGAGATCAGCAGCCTAAATCCGATTCAGACTGCAAATGACACTTATTTTGTGGCTTGAGGATGGCTTGTATCACCAGAAACCATCATATTTTGCTAAGAGTGATGGCTTCAAGAGAAGCCTTGACCTGTGTTTGTCCTGCAGACTGACCTTCCATCAGTGATGCACTGGTACAGCAGTGCTGGTGGGAAGCTCGTCCTCAAAGACAGCTCCCTTTGCAGGGTCAAAGCTAAACTCAGCTCTGACGTACAGCTTCTTCATTAGCTCATTAAACACTTTGCATAACATACACAGGAGCTGGCAGTGAGGGAGAGGAAATCAAAGCCTCTTGCACTTAGTTCACCTGCATTCAAAGTCAGGAAACCTTCGTGCAATGATTCATCCCAAGCTACAGGCTCTGGAGCCCTCGTTTGCCTTCTTCAGAGCTGCTCCATGGACAGGGACAGGCTGCTTGAGCTGAAAGGAAGCATTTTAGCTGCAAAACTGTACAAGGCAGCATGTGCTATTTCTGGAGAGTGCTGTAATGTATGCGTCTAGCCCGGCTCACTCCAGCAACGGCCAAATGTTTTTCAAGCAGTAAAGAAGGTAAAATAGAGCAACACTGTGCTGCAGCCAGGTTTTCCATGCGATCCCTAAGCAGAGCCTGCAGGAGCCCGCACGTGTGCTCGCAGACACATCGTTATGTGCATCCGTGACCAGAAGGATGGAGCCAGGGCACCGGGGACCGCAGCTCGGCAGCCGCAGCCAGTTACAGTCTGCTATGGCAGAGCACAGGCAGCTCGTGTGCTTCCAAACTGGGACCAGCACTTGATCCTCTCTTGCTCCACCTCTTTGGCAGCCTGCTGTATAATTCCTGCCCTTTGGGGAAGGCGAGAGAGGCATGGTGCCAACCAAGGGGAATGGAGGGATGGACCTGCCTCCCCTTGGATGATGATCGGGGTCACCCTCTGCCCCCCTTTCTTGGACACTGCTACTCAAAGGAAAGAAAAGGGACAGAAGGACAGAAATGAGCACAAACATGGGCTGAGGGCTGTGTAGAAGTACCACAGGGTGGGATCTGTCTGGATCAGGCAGAGCTTGGCAGATTTTCACACGCACACATGGCAGCAGTGCCCGGCCGTAGCAGAGAGGCAGGTATAGATATCCCCTTGTTTCCCTTCTGGAAGCTGGCAGGAATACGGGGTCCTGTGATATCACTGAGCGAGTGCTCTTTGTATTTACACACGGGGTTTTGTACGTGTTCAGTGAGAGGGCAGTGAGTGTTTTCCGGTGTTTTATGAACGCTGCTGGCTCTTTGCAAGCAGCGGGTGGGACACACGAGGGAGATCTGAGCTGGGACTTTATGGAGCTCTGCAAACCCTTCAGTAAATTCATGTTTGAGAAAGGGACAACAAAGTCCCTTAACAGAATCCAGCAGCGAATGGGATGTTTGTTTATCACACGTGCTTCAGGCATTAATTGAGCCGTGTCCATGGTGCTGTGTTCTGATGCTAAAACCAACATTTACCCACAACCTCTATGGGTTGTTAACCCGATTTTGTAGCGCTTTTTGACTTTCACCCTTGTTAAATGAAAACACCATTCTGTTGTAATACAGTTGCAAGGTTAATGTATAAATGTAGGTTTTTGGGGGGGCTGGAACTATTGAGCAGGGTGTTTTATAAGCTTTTTGTTCCCAATGATTGCAAGTATTCTCGATATTCATATTCAGCCCTGTCCTGCTATTGCATTTACTTGTATGTAAATGCAAGTAAATATATATATGTTTATATTACACATATTATATTACATATCTATATTATATCACTATTATATTAAATATTATTACATTATATTACATATTTATATTAATATATTATTAATATATGTTAACATATATAGGCATGTTCACATATGTGCTTTTGCAATAACCTTGTAGGGAGTTTTCTGTCACTTCATACTAGCTCTGCATGCATGTGCCAACACACTTTCAGAAGCAGCCACTAATGAGGATACGGGTTTAACATTACCTAATCTAATTGCTGGCAGCAAAAGGCATGGTGGGGAAGATGTTATGAAGAATTGCTGGATGGCCTAACAGTGTTAGTTCCATTAAATCCTTAGAGTCTGACCTGCCTGTAGTTAATTCCTCCTGCCTAACGAGGAAAATGCATTTAAAATTATTATAAGAGCAACTGGATGGGTGGATGTGAAGGGGTTGGAAGAAGTGTGGTGAGGACAGGCTGAGGGCATAGGAGCTGTGTGGGCTCTGCATTGGTGTCAGGGTAACCCTGCCTGGCCATGAGTGGGAAGCTGCAGCCCTCCCTGCCCTGGTTTTCATGTGGGTGAAATGGGGCTCATCAGTCATAGAATCATAGAATGGTTAGGGATGGAAAGGACCTTAAGATCATCCAGTTCCAAGCCCCCCTAGTTCCAACTCGCTTTCTTGTCTGATCTGATGAGAACTAATGGTTGCAGCCATCCCCACGCATGGGGCCACTGCCCCTGGGGCTGAAGGCACTTCTGTTAGAGGCGCCCAACAGCAGCTTCCTCATGCCTCCTTTTGTCCTGCATCCAGGATGCATTATGGCAAACTTTGTTCTTCAGCTCCTCTTTAAGCCACTCTCAGCCTTTTGAACGTTATTTTTCCTGGGTACCCTCCCAAAACCCATTGTGATTTTTAATTTCCTATTAAGGCTGAGCCCCACCAGCGCCAGGGCTGGCAGTGAAGGCTCAGTCCCAGGCTGTGCTCAGAGCAGCTCGCCCTGCTGCAGGCTGGGGCAGTGCTCACGTTCATTTTCCAGCTCTGAAGTAGTCAGGACAGGGTCCAGCTTGCATTCGGGGTGTGATTTGAGGAGAACCAGAAAGTCCATCACCGGGCAGCATCCTGTGCCTTGTCTTGTGCAGCTGGAAATGATCATTTCACATATGAAAAAAGAAATCCCTGCATTGACATTCTTAAAAAGCATTTGCTCTCGTGTCCGGGTCCCACGTGAGAAGAGGACAGCATAGAGAAAATGCCAAGAGTTTAGGCCAAAACAGAAGCAGGATGGATTGCAGATAAGGAGTAAAAGGGCAAGTAAAGAAAAGCCTTATTGTCTCGATGGGAGCAAGTAGAGAAATGCCTGAGTTGCTACCCCGGTTGGAGATGTGTCTGTGGTACAAATGGCACACATTTCAAACTGCCTCATTACATTAAGGTCTCGTGTTTTCTTCCCTAGGCTCCATTTCCCAGGTCACCGTATGAACACCTGAGTCTCCTCGAGGTATCAGAGATGAACCTGTAGCAGCTTGTCCACAGGTAAGAGTTTCAGCCATTGCTCCGGTGCCTGCTCTGATGGTTTGGGAAGCATGGAGGGGGGGACCACAGAGCCTGTGGCCCTGGTGTTTTGGGGCTCAAACCCGTGTCCATGCTGCCTGATGCTCTGATGGGACGTTTGCTTTCTGAT